CAAATTACAATCTAAGAGATAAATTTAAAGCTTGCTTAAATATATTTCATGATTATGAAAAATAGCTTAAAACTAAATACTAGGGGAAATATATTGATGGGCTTGAGCACGTTCAGGTTACCAAGATTAGTCTGTCCACCTTTATACATCTCGCATTTTCTTTAGCTCCTTGGTACCTAACATAATATGCATGAGTTGTTGAACCCAATAAGATTTTTTGGTAGAGCAAATGAAATGTTGGGGAGGCATTTATAGCCAAGAGCAAATAACCTTCGATGAATTTAGTTGAAAAATTTTTAGAAAAGAAATGAGCTATATCATCTAAGGGGGTTGTGCACTATAACTTTGGTTTTAGCTAATTAGACTTGGATTTGAAGGATGTTGAAACTTGATTGTTTGTTTAAGAATGTTTGTTCGAATTACTTCTTTGTTTGGAGATGAAGTTTCGAGAAATTGCTATTTGCTTTATTTGGTACAGAGTGTTAACCCACTCTCGAGCCAAGAATACAATGCTACAGGTCCATACTGGACGCAATCTCTCGCTCGAGCGACCAAACCCCAGCTCGAGCGAAGAACCAAAAACAACATCTCGGTCGAGCGACCAACTCCTCGCTCGAGCGAAGAACCAAAAACAACATCTCGGTCGAGCGACCAACTCCTCGCTCGAGCGAAGAACCAAAAACAACATCTCGGTCGAGCGACCAACTCCTCGCTCGAGCGAAGAACCAAAAACAACATCTCGGTCGAGCGACCAACTCCTCGCTCGAGCGAAGAACCAAAAACAACATCTCGGTCGAGCGACCAACTCCTCGCTCGAGCGAAGAACCAAAAACAACATCTCGGTCGAGCGACCAACTCCTCGCTCGAGCGAAGAACCAAAAACAACATCTCGGTCGAGCGACCAACTCCTCGCTCGAGCGAAGAACCAAAAACAACATCTCGGTCGAGCGACCAACTCCTCGCTCGAGCGAAGAACCAAAAACAACATCTCGGTCGAGCGACCAACTCCTCGCTCGAGCGAAGAACCAAAAACAACATCTCGGTCGAGCGACCAACTCCTCGCTCGAGCGAAGAACCAAAAACAACATCTCGGTCGAGCGACCAACTCCTCGCTCGAGCGAAGAACCAAAAACAACATCTCGGTCGAGCGACCAACTCCTCGCTCGAGCGAAGAACCAAAAACAACATCTCGGTCGAGCGACCAACTCCTCGCTCGAGCGAAGAACCAAAAACAACATCTCGGTCGAGCGACCAACTCCTCGCTCGAGCGAAGAACCAAAAACAACATCTCGGTCGAGCGACCAACTCCTCGCTCGAGCGAAGAACCAAAAACAACATCTCGGTCGAGCGACCAACTCCTCGCTCGAGCGAAGAACCAAAAACAACATCTCGGTCGAGCGACCAAACCCCAGCTCGAGCGAAGAACCAAAAACAACATCTCGGTCGAGCGACCAACTCCTCGCTCGAGCGAAGAACCAAAATTATGGACAGCAACACTTGGTTTCAAAACCCAACCAACCTGAAACAAATCTGCCCAACACATCCTATAACTCCAAATAAGAAAATAAGGGACAACAACAACAATTATACAATGACAGAATCTACGGAACCTAAGTCCGGATACAATAATCAAATGGGAAAAGACCGGGGTCGCTATATTGAATGAGGTAGGCGTGGCCTTGAATGGTTTTGAGCCTTCTCAGGCCAATTCAATGTTCTAAGGCTTGCAAAATATGGCAATGCATACATTGATGTTCTTATCAATTTCAAAATGCACGGCTGATGTACATTCAAAAAAAAAAAAGGGGGCAAATTACAGAAATGGTCCCTATAGTTTACCCGTATTTTCATTTTGGTCCCTGCACTTCTAATTGTTTCAATTTTGCCCCTGTAGTTTGGTTTTTGGCTCGAAATAGTCTAATAGTTAATGGTGGTTAGACATTTGGATGGAAAATTGACATGTGCAAGGCACGCACGGGCCAATTTTGACTTTCTTGAGTGTTTTTGGATCAATTCAATTTGCTTAATAGATGTTTTATTTAATTTCATTATTTAATTATTATTATTTTTTAAAATAAATTTATTTAAAATTTTAATTAAAAAATAACATATATTTTTATTGATATTTTATTTATTTAATTTTTAAAAATAAATTTATTTAATTGTGTAAAAAATAAAATAAAATAAATTTTTATTTAATCTAGCTAAAAATAATTAAAATATTAAAGATATGTTTACTAAGTAATAGCATGACGGTAAAATAGACATTTCACACATTAGACCCATGGAATACCAATCTCATGAAAATAATCCCCCCCATAGGATTGTTTAGTTCCTCATATGAGGGATATGGAGTTCGGCCAGACTCCATGGCACAACAAAGAGATTATTTGCTTCTAGAAGATTTGCTTAGGCTCCATTTGGTAGAGTTTTTAATTATTAAAAATTAATTTAATATAAATAAATATCAAAAATAAATTTTAAAAAATATTAAAAATTATTTCCTACTCAAAAAATAAAAAATCAGATGAAAATAATATATATATTTATTTTTTTACCAAACTAATTTTTAAAATTTTAATATTCTTCAAAACATAATTTCTAGAACTCAACCAAATGGATGTGTAATGAAGTAACCTATCTATTTGCTAAAATATAATTTTTATTGCAATTTTAGCTAAAACATAATTTTTTGACTCAAAATCAACTTATAAAAATTTAATACTAAAAAAACTAATTTATTTGATATATTGTTAACTTTTTGACTTGTGCAATGTTTGGTAATTTTTTCAATTTTTATATTTTTATGTAAAATTACCAATTTTCCCATGAATAAAAAAAGTTCATAAGAATGATGGATAAAGACAAAGTAGGGAAATTCCATGTGTGCAAGGCACGCATGGGACAATTTTGACTTTCTTGAACAATTTTGACTTTCTATTTTATTTAATTTTATTATTTAATTATTATTATTTTTTAAAATAAATTTATTTAAAATTTTAATTAAAAAATGACATATATTTTTATTGATATTTTATTTATTTAATTTTTTAAAATAAATTCATTTAAATGTGTAAAAAAATAAAATAAAACAAATTTTATTTAATCTAGCTAAAAATAATTAAAATATTAAAGATATGTTTAATATTGCTATTACTTAGTAAACAATTGAAAAATAGTAAAATAGTCTTTTGCACATTTATCCTTATCTAGTTTGTCCAACCAAACATTAGATTCACTAAAACTAGTCATTTCTAGACATCTAATCCCATGAGAAAACAAATACGGCATACACATCCAATCCAATCAAATAGTCCAGGGGATTCATAAAAAATATATATTAATAATAAAAAATATAAATTATAAATTTAATTTAATTATAAATTATGGCCTTATAAATAAGACAAATAAATTTATAATTTATAAAATTTTTTTTGTGTTGTTAATTTAAAATTAGACATTAATAAAAAAATATAAATTATAAATTATAAATTTCATTTAATTAAAAATAATAAATTAAAAATTATGGCTAGATTAAAAATTATCTTTAATATTTTAATTATTTTTAGCTAGATTAAATAAAAATTATTTTTATTTATTTTTTTCACAATTAAATAAATTTATTTTTAAAAATTAAATAAATAAAATATCAATAAAAATATATGTTAATTTTTTTAATTAAAATTTTAAATATATTTATTTAAAAAAATAATAAAAATTAAATAAAACATCTATTAAACAAATTGAATTGATCCAAAAACACTCAAGAAAGTCAAAATTGGCCTGCGGGTGCCTTGCACGCGTCGATTTTCCATCCAAATGTCTAACCACCGTTAACTATTGGACCATTTCGAGCAAAAAATCAAATTGCAGGGGCAAAATTGAAACAATTAGAAGTGTAGGGATCAAAATGAAAACACGGGTAAACTATAGGGACCATTTCTATAATTTGTCCAAAAAAAAACCACAAAAGAAAATAGCATCAACTACTGTCAAATTGTAATTTGGAGATGGTTACTACTGTCAAATTATTTGACCGTGGTTTTTTTTTTTTTTTTTTCCTGGCTATGAACCAATTGACCGCAGTGGAAAAAAAATGTGCTATTTTCGAGATCAAAGTAATAACAAATAATAGTTTTGTAGACGGTAAACAAATTACACACTATTATCATCATATAAATGAAAAAGGTTAGTGTCATTTTAGATCAATAAATTGTATGTAGATAGTAAAATGGATTTTGAGTATTATTGAAGGACCAATAATACTTTAGATACAAAGTATAATTTCTTTAAATAAAATTTCAGTAATTGACTTGTTTCCATAATTAAATTGCTGATGCAAAGTCAACTATTATGCATTACAAATAAAAGTCAGATAACAATAAAATGTCAATTGCGAAAAATACAATAAAATAATGAAATCCAATAATCATCTGGAATAAGATACAACCATATCCAAAAACATTATATATTCATTTCATGCATTTAGTTGCAAAACTAATATATGTGTACAGGTGTAAGACCATCTTTACTACCAAAACAACAACAAACACTGACAAATCAATCACCCTAAACACCTCCCAATCAAAATAGCCAACAAACAGCTCATCCTCTTATCTACATGGTCAAGTTACTTTTCACCATGAAGGTGCCACATATGTTCAATTAAATCATTACAGAGGGCATGATATGTATTCTTATCTTTAATACCTAAATGACGAGACATAAACAATTCAAAGTGATTGTTACTGGCAGTAGATAGTACTACTGCTGAGGTGCTTGATGATATTTCATAATCCAAATCAAGATAGGAGTCTCTCTAATCTTCGACAATCATATTGTGCAATATAATGCAAGTCTTCATCATGTTACCAAGGATTTTGGTATCCCAAAAACGTACTTGACCACCTACATTGTAAATCGGGATTGGAGCACTCTGAATGCCCGCACTACATCATTCCTTGCTGACTTTTACATCATAGAAAAGGTTGCTTCTTTGCTCATTGGGAAGAAGAGATTGTCTGCACCAGTGTTGCCCATGGAGGATATATATCATCAGCAAGGTAATAACCCATATTGTAAGTGTGTCTATTAACTGTGAAATTAGTAGGCGGAGCTTTCCCTTGGGAAAAATAAGAAAATAAGGGCGAACAATCCAAGACATTCAAGTCATTGTGTGATCTAGGTATTCCAAAAAAATGCATGTCAAATCCACAAGTCATAAGAATTACTGCTTCAAGAATTATGGTTGGCTTTTTCTGATGGCCTACATATTGTAACGCCCTCAAAATAATAACATTAAACCCATCAATAGAGACATGCATTGATATATAAAAGTTCCACGTTCTTCGATTTATCAGAGTTTCATTACAAAAAGTATTACATGTTAACAACAAAAGCAAATGCCCTAAAGGCTTACAGCTTTCCAAGTTAACACTTGGTTAACCATGGCTCAGAACCTGGCCAAACAACTCATATGAGACAGTAACTTATATCAAACACTTCCCATTTCATAACAGATAAGCATACTAGCTATATCACACAACAACAGATAAGCATACAAGCTGTATCATCACTTCCACAGATATGTATATGAGCACTATCACACTTCCAATGACAAGCATATGAGCGTTGTCAATACATCACTAGATAAGCATATGAGCTCTATCTACGGAGTCCATCCCCTATCTCCTCCCAACACATCCGGTTTAGAGGTCCATCCCCTATCTTCCCCTAAACCGTGGAGTACATCCCCTATCTCCTCCAACACAGCACAATGCATATAAACAACAATTATACACATCAACACACAATACATAAATTTAATGTATTCCTTCAATCGTCAATCTCAATGACACATTCCGGTGATTAGTTTCAGTTTGTCTAATCATCATGCATTGTCTACAACAATCACGACTATCCTCCACCGATAGCCCACAGCAGTTATTTCTATACAGAAAATAAATGCAACAATGGATATATAATCAACATTTCAACTAGGTGAGCGATAAATAATCCAACTACACCCTTTAATCCTTTCCCTTTCCAATTTCCACATTCTCAATTCAATTCCTCATTTCCAACAATTAATTACACAATTAATTAATCAATGTAATTAGGGCATTTTCCATAATTAACTTTACAACCCTTAGGTTCCATTTTCATTAATGTTTTAACATAAATTTCACTTTTTCCACGCCGAACATGCATCTAGGCTTTATATAGCTAAAACCCCAACTTTTGTAAATTTACACAAAAGCCCCAAACTTTCACAAAATTACCAAACCAACCCCAACATCTCAAAATACCAAAATTTAAAGACAAAATCCATAGAGAGGAGTAGGATATCCCTACCTCAAAGTTTGAGCTCCAATGGAGATGAAGACCAAAACCAAAATGCTTCAAATTTTGAAATTTTCAGATTAAAATGTAGCCCTCGACGATCAACACAACTTTCGTAAAGACCAAAGGTGAGCAAACAACTCCTACTAGATCAAATCTAAGAGAGAAGGGCCGGTTTTACAGTGAGAAGCTCTGAAAATGGCTTTTTGAAAAAGTAAGAGAGAGAAAAGATCTTAAAAAAGTGATCCTAAAGTCGGATCTCAGATTTATATAAAAGTCGTCCCGCTCGAGCGTCAAACTTCCCGCTCGAGCGGCACTCACAGACTCCTGCTCTAAAATGTAGCCCTCGACGATCAACACAACTTTCGTAAAGGCCAAAAGTGAGCAAACAACTCTTACTAGATCAAATCTAAGAGAGAAGGGCCGGTTCTAGAGTGAGAAGCTCTGAAAATGGCTTTTTGAAAAAGTAAGAGAGAGAAAAAATCTTGAAAAAGTGATCCAAAAGTCGGATCTCGGGTTTATATAAAAGTCTCCCCGCTCGAGCGTCCCACGCCCCGCTCGAGCGTCAACAATCCCACTCAAGCGCCGGATACACACTTCCAGAACTTTTACAGAATCAGGTCTTCGCTCGAGCGTCACACACAACAACCCGCTCGAGCGTCAAAACTCCCGCTCGAGCGTACAACTCTGCAGAGGATATACTGGAAGATGGAAAACTACGCTCAAGCGTCAAAAACCCCGCTCGAGCAGACAGCCAACAACGAAGGTCTCGCTCGAGCGTCAAAATCCTCGCTCGAGCGTGAAGGCCAAAATCTGGGCAACTACTCTTGGTTTCTAAGTTCAACCAACCTTTTTCAAACTCGCCCAACACAACCCAAGACTCGAATGCAAAGAGTAAAGGATGTAAACAAGATATACACGACAACCAACTCCACGGAACCTAAGTCCGGATACAACAGTTAAAGAAAAGGAGAAACCGGGATCACTATAGAAATTGAATAAAAAAGAAATTGAATAGAAAAGGAAATGAAATAAAAATGGAAGTGGAATAAAAATAAAAATGGAAGTAGCAGAAATGCTGTCGGACAATTTTTCCACTCCCAATGCATGTAATCTAAACTTCCTAACATACCCAGAAACCTACAAACCTCCCCAATAGCAAGTAATCTAGCACTATCAGTTGGTGATGGAGATCTAAGATATTCAGGTCCAAAGATTTCGATAATTGAATTGCAAAAGTGTTTCAAACTTTTAATTGTCGTCCTTTCCCCAATTTGCACATAATCATCAACCGTATCTACTGCCACTCCATATGCGAGCATTCTAATTGCTGAAGTCATCTTTTGAAGTGGAGACAATCCGAGAATATGAGTTGCATCTTTTTTTTGAACAAAATATGTGTCGTATGCTTCAATGGCATGCAAAATTCGCAAATACAGATCACGACGCATTCTAAAACGTCTCCAAAATGTTGAAGATGAATAAACTGGATTTACAGGAAAATTATCCGCAACCAATCGATCATGACCCTTTCTTCTTTCACGACGTATCTACTTATGTCCTATAACAAAGCCACCTTTTTTCTTTGGTTGATCACTTCCTGTCAGCATCTGTATCATACTAGCTTTATTTATCTCATAAAGACCCACAAGTGAAACAATTTTTGCATCATCGCTTTCATCATCAGAGGATGAGGAAAAAGCGGAGGATGAAAAATCAGTGAACAAATAAGAAGTTGAAGAAGTCATTATGCTCTGTTTTTCAGTGATGGGTTGGTTCTAGATACAATGTTGTTTTCTGGGTGTATTTACTTGGTTTAATTTGTTTATATATATATATATATATATTTTGAGGGAAATAATTAATGGATGCAAAAAGGAATGGAAAATAATTAATGGAGGGAAAAACAAATAGCAACGGAATTGAGGGAAATAGAAATGAAGGGAAAAATAATTTTTGAAACTGGTGGATTGCCCTTGTTCGTCAACTGGCCGGTCATCTCCCCGGTCGACCTGTTTGTTGATGACAGCCAAAATTGCTCTGTTACAGTGCTGGATATCAGATGGAGTTTTTACTCAAATTTGGTGAAATAAATGATTCACCATTGGAGATGCTCTTATAAAAATAGTTTCCAAAGTGTGTGTGTGAAAAACATAAAGAGAAAAATAATATTCATTCCATTCCAAAATAATAGTCTCTTTTGGAAAATTTAACTTTTTTTGATAGTGCAATCATTATACTTTAAAAATATTGGTTTTTTCAAATTACGCTTTGATAGTACATTTTTTGAGAATATTAATTGTCATAATTGTACTTTTTGTATTGTTAATGGATTTAAAAGAAGAGCAAAATGGAAAATTCATTTTATTTTAACCATTAATTTTTGAAAATGGACTAATATTTTGGGACAATGAAAAATAGAATAAGGGACTAAAATTTTGGAACCGAGGAAGTATATATGTATATATTATTTCATTAGTTAATATTAGGAATTTGAAAAAGCATGGTTAGTTGGAATATTTTTTTACCCATATCAAAAGCTTTGCTTATTTCTTCTATTTTATAATGAAAGAAGAAAAAGTAAACGGGGATTCACCAAATCGATTTGATAGTCACCTACCCCACCCCGAAACTAATGGGGATTCACGAAACCAATACTATAACCAATCCATAGGGGAAAGAATTGGAGAAAAATCACACCTATAAGTGCGAGGCGAGGTGGGTCCCCATCGGGTTGGAGCATCGTTTGTCATTGGGGAATGTGTTTCTGCTATTGGAAATTGAAATGTGAGGGGTTTTAGTGGTGTGGGATGTAAAGTGGAGCTGGCAAAATAAAAGAAAGAGGAGGAAAGGAATAAGGAAGGAGTTGATGGTTAGAGAGGAGGGGAAGTAGGCTGATGTGGTTTAGAAAATAAGGTTGAGGTGGAGGTGGTGGGTGGTAAGGGAATCGGGGGGTAGAAATGAGGTGGAGGTAGAGATGGTGAGTGAAAGGAAAGACATGTGTTGGTGGCGGCGGAGAAAGAGCAGGTGCTGGTGAGGGAAGTCCAGGTTGGTGAATAGTTTAGAAATGTGGTTGGTAGAGAAAGTTGTTTTTTTTTTTTGTGCAAATTATATTATTATTATTATTTTAAAATGTAGGGTTATTATTGAAGGATAGAAATGTAATTATCTTTTCCAATTAACTGTGACCTCAAAATTTATGGGCATCATAATAAGATCTAAACTTGAAAATTAATTTAATAAAGGGTTTCTAATCATTGTTTATAAAATATTCATCATCATCCATCAATTATAAAATTAGAAATCACTATTATCAAATTACAATCTAAGATAAATTTAAAGCTTTGTCTTAAAATATTCATGATATGAAAAATAGCTTAAAACTAAATACCTAGGGAAATATTGATGGGGCTTGAGCACGTTTCAGGTTAGCCAAGATTAGCTGTCACCTTTATACATCTCGGCATTTTCTTTAGCTTCCTTGGTACCTAACATAATATGCCATGAGTTGTGAAACCCAATAAGATTTTTTGGTAGAGCATGAAATGTTGGGGAGGCATTTATAGCCAAGAGCAATAACCTTCGATGAATTTAGTTTGAAAATTTTAGAAAGAAATGAGCTATATCATCTTAAGGGGGTTGTGCATGAATACTTTGTTTTAGCTATTAGACTTGGGTATTTGAAGGATGTTGAAACTTGATTGTTCTTGTTAGAATGTTTTGTTCGAATTACTTTCTTTGTTTGGAGATGAGTTTCGAGATAATTGCTATTTGCTTTATTTTGGTACGTTTATGATATTGATAATATGTTGTTTTGATGTTTTTAGGTTAATTTTATAACTTTATCACTGATCTTTGTGATTTTATTGTTCTAAAATTAGTGGGATTAGATAATGTATTCAATAGGAAAAATGTGTTGGAGTTAGTTGTGTTTGGCATGGTTGTCTCTTGTACAAGTTTGTGGTTGGTCTTGAATAGGGATTCAACTGCTCGCATGCTTTGTTGATTGACTCTGCTCAAGTGTTTGGAGGAACTGGGGTTGTTTTGCTGTTGTTGAAAACAGAGGTAATTATAGGGGCTGATTTTCAGTGGCTGGGTGTATAATTGTAGTGGCTGATGTTGGAACTGTTGATGTTTGTTGTTATATTGAGGCTTGATTGTTCTATGCTATTACTTTGGTGTATCTTTTTCGAATGTTTTGTATGATTGTCATCTTGTGAACCTGCTATTGGTGTGTTGAAAGTGTTTGCACATGACTTTTGTGATTTTGCTATGATGCAATTTTTTGCACTTCTTCTTTTTCCTTTATTGATGTAATGCATTGATTTCATTAATCAAAGGTTTTGTTTGCTGATTAAGAAAAAAAAAAAAAGAGCTTATCTTTCGTAATTTTAAAAATTACATGAATTACTCATTTTATTAATAAATTATTAAATCAATTAACAATTTTCAATATATCAAAAATTTATTTTTGATAATTTTATTGTTATATTGGAAGGTAATTAAGAATTTCATTTATTTTTTGGTTAATTTTGTAAAAAAAAAAAAAAAATTCTAACAAGGAAGTATTTGTAATTTTCAGAATCACAAAGGATAATTCATTTTTTTAACAAATTTCAAATGGTTTATTTATAATTTATCTAAAAAATTGTAGTGGGATGTCATTTTCAAAGTTAAGATAATTTTTTTTTTTGAAAAATATTTTGTTTGTTCCAAATAATAAAAAATATTTTTTGAAAATATTTTTCAGTGTTAACAAAATACCGAAAATTTAAAATGTAAAAAAGAAATTTTACAAAAACATTTTACATGAAAAATATTTTATGATATCAAATGTTTTATATCGAAATAAATGGAACCGGGTAAATTACAAATACACTATATGATATTTGATTAAAATACAAATAAATTTTTTGTAATTTTGAAAATTACATTCCACCTTTTGAAGTTTTTAATTTCATAATAAATAGCTCATTTTGTTAATAAATCATTAAATCAATTAATAATTTTTAATAATATTAAAAATATATTTTAAATAATAATTTAGATAATTTCATTATGATATAAAAAAATAATTATATATTTTATTTTTTAATTAATTCTATTAAATAAAAAATTTTAATAAAAAAATATTTATAATTTTTTAAATCACAAAAAATAATCTACACTTTAAGCAAACTGCCAGCCCGTATATCAAACCCATTTAATTGATCTTCTCTTATACCTCATACCATTCAACCTCCCACAAGATGTAAATAAGTGGTCAAAAGAATGAATGAGGCTCCTAGCAGAGAGAATGAATGAGGGCTTTGAGACAGCAACTAGGGTTAGGCTCAAAGAATGAATGAGGCTCCTAGCAGAGAGATTGGGAAGTTTGTGAGGGTGGTTGACCCTCTCTGCAAAAACAAGATGATCGATCAAAGATCATCAGGGCCGATGATTTCACCTCCAAAATCAACAGCCCTCTCTCTCTCTCTCTCTCTCTGCGTGTGTGTGTGCGCAAGTGGAAGGTTGGATCATATCCACCTTTTTCTTGACCAAAAGCAAAAACCAAACCAAACCAAAAATAAATAAATAAAATAAAATAAAACTTTCAATGGGGTTTGAGGCTGTGATGGCACTACCCTCTTGGAGCATTGAAATGAATAATTTCTCCTGGGAAAAATTAGAGGCAGTGACGATGGATTTCTAAAGGTAGTGCCTCCAGATTTTCAAGGCAAAGATCACAGCCGCTAACTCTAGGTCGTGTGTGGGGTAATTCTTCTCGTGCATTTTCAACTGACGTGAGTCATAAGCTACCACTTTCCCTTCTTGCATCAACACACAACCCAAACCCTCTCGTGAGGCATAACAGTAAACCGCATAACCCAACCCTCTCTCCGGAATAATCAACACCGGAGCGGTGGTCAATCTAACTTTCAGCTCTTGGAACGACTTTTCACAAGTCTCACTCCACACAAACTTGACTCCCTTCCGAGTCAGTCTAGTCAACGGTGACGCTAACCTAGAGAAATCCTTCACAAACCGACGGTAATACCCAGCTAATCCCAGAAAACTGCGGATCTCAAACACACTCTTAGGCTGTGCCCAATCTTGCACTGCCTCAACCATGGACGTATGAACAGACACCCCTTCCCCGGATACCACGTGGCCTAAAAATTTGACTTCCCTCAGCCATAACTCACACTTCCCAAACTTGGCATACAGCCTATGGGCTCTAAGTAACTCAAGCACCACTCTCAAGTGTGCCTCGTGCTCCTCCTCAGAAGACGAATAGATAAGGATATCGTCCACGAAAACAACCACAAATCGGTCTAAGAACTCCCGGAAAATCCGGTTCATCAAGTCCATAAAAACTGCCGGTGCATTGGTAAGCCCAAATGGCATCACCACGAGCGGGAGTTTGGACGCTCGAGCGGTAGTTTGTGTGTTACGCTCGAGCGAGGAGTTGGACGCTCGAGCAGTGACCTGGTTCTGTAAAAGTGCTGGGAGTGTGTATTCAGCGCTCGAGCGGCGGTTTGGACGCTCGAGCGGGAGTCTGTGAGTAACGCTCGAGCGGGAGTTTCCACACTCGAGTGGGGAGTCGGGTTTAAAGCTCCGTGTTTTGACTTTTAAAATCA